TCCCGTAACTACCCAGCAGCCTGCTCCCCACCTTCAACCTACTCGACCCCAATCTCTCCGGTCATTGGCCCGCTGCCTCTTTATTCCTACAGCCTTCATAACCCCTAATCTCCTCGACTGCATCGCCACCACGTCGATCTTCACCCTCGTTTGTGTTTGTTTGTCATTTCTTTTTTATTGTGACGAGTCTTTGTTGTAACCGTTGAATGTCAGCAATAATATGTTTATGTTCATGGTGGTTTGGGTTTCCTCCGGTATCACACAATTCATAGTTCAATTCTATTTCACCATTAAATAGAAAATGCATTTGATGTCTCGGATAGACCTAGAAACAGCCCCCACTGATTTAAGAATTTCTTTAATATATTTTCAAAATAAACAAGTAGTTATTAAAAATATATAATTTTGCATGCCTCCCTTTTAGTAAATCCTTTTGCCAATATAAAGAGTATGGAGACTGAATCAGACAAAAATGGCCTGTTGTAAATAGTCAGGGGACTATTTTGGCAATGAACTCCCCATATTATTTATCGCATCTCTTTTTTTCTTTGTAGACATTGTTTCTTATTCTCATGTCATTTATTCAAAAGAAACAATAATTATCTTTAGCAACGTCTTGGGGCCAATGGTCTTATGGTTTTATTTGTTGCAAAAATGTAGAAATTGAAAAGGTTAAAGCCAACTTCCCTCTGCCACAAAAATTATATGAGTGAATAAAACTGATTTGCCCATAACACAAGGATTCTGCTGTTGTAATCCACTAGGTGGTAAGTAGCCTCAGTCGTCCATAGGAACAAACGTTTTCCGAACCCAGTGAAAGAAGATTTAAACTACCACAAGGAGCAAAGCTAAAGTCAAGTTTGTACGTCTCTGTCATGGATATGATGATCATTGTCAGTTGTTCAGTAGAGGTAATGGAATTCTAACGCCGGTAATGTGTTAACCAGATGGATACAGCAATAGCTGCAAATGTAATTGTGTAATGGTGGCTATTAAGTAGGTTATAACCAAATCTAGTAGTATATAACCACTTGGAAACTATTTCATTTTTGCATTAATAGTTTTTAATTGCTCAATTCCATTTCATTGATCGGCATTTTGCTACGTCTTAGATGACATTAATGGGTAAATCCATCCTTTGAATTTTCTTATGTTGACAACTGATAATGTTGAAATCAGATACGTTTCAGTTTAGTATACTGAATTTTTTCTTATTTTCATGGTAGGAACTTTATAATTAGACTACCATCCATCGTAAGTGTTTCATCTTTACATGCATGCCTTTTCTACTATTCAGTATGCCCTCTTAAAACTCTATAGTTGTAAATTATTTCTTTTAGTTCTTGCTATAGCATTGGAGATCAAAATGGTAACCAACATATAAATTGTAGATGATGAAATAAAGGACCTTCACACGAAGGTTGACTTGGTTGTTACTCTTGGCGGCGATGGAACTGTTCTTTGGGTACGTATTGTTAGTCCCTTCACCGAGGCACTTTTCTTTTTTGGGGCATGTACATACATACCACACAATTCCTATGTGTTTACATGTCTAACATTTAAATTTAATTTTTTTTACTTTTGTGTCATTCAAATTATTCATGTCATATAAAAAATACCATCATTTTTACTTTCAAATAAATGAAATAAAAGGTAGCACAAATGTATAAATTGAAATTTAGATGTTAGATATGCAAATACATAAGAATTGAGTGATATGTATTAAGTCTTCACTTTTTTTGGTTTTCATTGTCATTGTTATTTGTTGTGATTCTTAGGCGGTGTTAGGTAGCATACTTTTAATAGGATTTACGTTTGGATTTTCGTAAATCCATCCAAACACAAAAAAGAGGTAAGTTAAATCTGATGCTCCGCTAAATCCAATTTTCTTCTCCGTTTCGTTGTAAATCCAATCTGTAGGTGGATTTAATGTTATACTTCCCTGGCCGAACGGTGTCCGAAAGGGACGAATTTGGCATGATCGCCTCATTGTCAGTCATCTACTTCAAACAAACTATTTCAGTTCTTCTGAATGTGGCATCGTCCCTTACACCATTTCACTTTTTGTACACATCCTAAAAATCATTTTTTTTCTTTCGCCGTGGGAGAAAGCTTTTGGAGGTCATTTATGAAAGTGGTCTCACCACGAGAAGAAAAATAAAGAAAGGCAATGGGATGAAAGCAATTCGTATGAGGGCTTCGCATTGGGAGTTTCTAATGGAGAAGAAAGGCATTGGAGACGGAGTCAAGGAGGGTAAAATATGGGGTTTTGAAGAAGATGATTATACATTACCAAAGAGTTCCCAACTTCATGTGGCAGCTATGGAACACCGACACTTCTAAAAATGTGTCGTACCCATGTTATACAGGTACCAAACATCAACACGCTCCGATACTTCTTCAACATTGTCTAAATTTTTTTCAGGCTTGAACACGTGCAGGACACTCCTCAATACCGCATAAAACGTAAGCTTAACATGATTTTGAGAAAATATGACAAGGGAACTAGAAAATTATAAAAATACGTATATCTTTAATTATACCTTATAGTCAAAATCACTCTATCTCTCGTCACATTGAAGCTTCCTATAACATTCGTCAAAATTGAGCATCAAAGGCGCATCCAATATTTGATGTTGAGCATTAGTAATTTACTCTTTGTAATTATAGGATTTATTAAATTTTAGTGGATAAGTTAAATTATAAGTTAGATGAATTCTTTTGAAACATATTATATCTAATTTTAAAAATTAATTTTCATAAGCATGAGGTTTTATAATATAAATTAAATTTATAAAGTTAAATTTTATTCTTGCATAATTTTTATTATGATATTTTTAATAAAGAATAATGAAAAAAAATATATTATATATTAATATTAATTATAAAAATATTATATAATATGTTCTTATCGATTGGCTTTACTAGCTCATATGTAAGGAGTACATGATGTTTTTCATATTTTTTTCACTTAGAAAGTATATCGTTGATGAATCAAGTAGGGTGATAGTAGACTCAATTGATATTCAGGTTGGTTTGATTTATATCAAGGAGCCTGAAAGAATTCTTAATTATGATGTGAAAAAACCTCATAATAGAGAGATTCAATTTGTAAAGATTTTATGGAAGCTCGGATTAAGGAAGATGCTACTTGGGAGAAAACTTTTGATATTCAAGAAAGATATCCACAATTTTTTATTTGAGGTAGCTTTGCTTTTATGTTTCCTTTTAAATTTTGAGGACTAAATCATTATAACTAGGGGATATTGTAATAAATGAAATAAAAAAAGAATATAATAATAATAATAAAATTATTGGAATTATGACCGTCAAGTGGTTCGGCCATTAGAGGTTGAAGGGGATGTGTTTTGTTCGTAATTAGTGAGAATGAGAGGCTCAAAGTGAGAGAAAGAAGAAGAAGAAAAAAGAGATCATGCCTAACCCTGGTGGTGAAACTAGGTGTGTTAGGGCAAGGAGGCACATTTTCTAGCGGCTCGTCGTGTGGTGTTGAAGTCGAAGATGGTGCTGCAATGTGTCGGTGTGAGCAAAGGAATAGAATTGGACGACGCCGATGAAGGAAGGAGGATGTAACTGATGCAAAGGAGAAGAGAAGGGACGTCAAGCGCTTCGTACGTTGCTACCGTGCGAAGGAGAAGATGAAGGAAACAGGATTTCACGACATTTTGTTGCATGCTTGTGGGTAGGATAGTCGAGCCTCGTTGCGGGACAAAGTCCTCATTCAAGTTGTAATCCTGTGATCAAAGGAAATTCTTAGGATTTTTATTATAATTTAATCATACAAATTTTATTATATAATTGTTAATAGTAGATGTATTTGAAATCAAGACTCAAAAAAAGAATGAAATTTTAGCTTTGAAGTAGAAAAAGTTGGTGAAGCGTGCAAGTGAGGGAGGAGATCAATTCGGGAGACCTATAAGGTAAATATTAATGTTTATATTGTTATTAGAACAAATGATATAATTATTTAAAATAATGATATTAAATCTTATTTAATTAGGAAGTATGAAAGAAGACTGATAAATTATTGAGATTTGCGGAAGAAAATAAAGAATTTTTTAAGTAAAAGGAGGTTAGTGTTTTATTCATGGAATTCTCACATGGTTAAATTATTGTTGATTATTAAATATTATTTTAGAAAATTTATGAGTTTTAATTATGTATGTTGATTAAAAGGCGCAAGGAGTGTTAATTGAAGAATAAGAAAAAGATAATTCAAGGGAAAGAGAAAGATATCCAGACGTCAGGGAGTAACTATTTTCTTATTGGCATTAAATTGATGATTTATTTAAAAGTTGCATTTCAAATTTATCAAAATGAACTTGCAATTTGGTTTAAGAAAAAATACTTCATTTATAATTTTGCATTTTGAAAGTTTGAAAGTTATCTCACAAATGGGAGGAAAATCATTGACATATGAAAGTGCATTTAAATGGCTTTAAATTAATATGAAATGATAAATTGAAGTGGGAGAGATTTTTTGCTCTACAAAACTGACAAAGTAATTTGGGAGGTGCAAGAGAAACATATTCCGGTTTTGAGAACACCGTAAAGTTTTTTATTTTGAAACCAAGCTTCATAACATTTGTTAAGGAGAGTTAAGCATCACCCAATACTTCACCACTTTGACTAAGTATTGGCTACAATTGTATATATTTGAGATATGTGTGGAAATGTACACCATATACCATGGCATTTAAATTCATCATTGATAAGAAGAGGACCATCACATTTCTAGTAGGGCTGACTCAGGAATTGGATGAGGTAATAGGGAGGATCATGGGAATAAAGCCTCTTTCATCTCCCCGTGAAGCCTTTGCTAAAGTCAAGTAAGAAGAGAGCACTAAAAAGCTGGTGCTGAACGGATATGGGGTTTCACTAAGCATTGAAAGTTCAGTTCTATACACTCATAATTGTTCTCATGGATCAAAGGTCAAGGAGAACCTCCCTAAATGTGATTATTGCAAGTAGATTTGACATATTAAAGACAAATGTTGGAAGATTGGACAGGGAAGGAAGGACAAGAGAGATAGACAAATGCTGGTACCACAACTTGAAATACTAAAGAAACTTCTTGGAAGTAATTTAAAGTAGCACACTAACCTCGTGACACACTAAGATAATATATGCTTTTCCCATCTCGCCAATAATGAGAGACTCAAAACTTTAATCATAGATTTAGGATCCTTTGATCATATGAACTGAGACATCAATGCTCTAGTCGACAATTAAGAGGCTTCTAAATCTAGAATGATAAGACTGGCAGAAGGATCATACTAAAAAATTACTGGGAAGGGAGATGTGGAGCTTTCTTAGGATATTACTCTTTTCTCTGTCTTATATGTTTTACAATTAGACTGCAATTTTATTTCAATCAGTAAGCTTACTTATGAATGAAATGTATAGCTAAATTTCATGCACATGAAAAATGTCTTTAAACACATAATTGATGTCATCTTTATTTGTCCCTCAAATTTCTAAGTGTGTTGAGTCCATACTTGTCTAAAAATAAGTCATGTTATGACATTGTCGTCCGAGTCATCCTGCTTTAGTTATGTTGCTAAGTTTTATCCACATTTATTTATCAATAAAAAATCTATTTTTTATAAATGAGAGACTTTTCAACTTGCCAAACACATTAGAAATAGTTATCCAATGATTCAGTATATACACTCACATCATTCTTTCATTATCTACAGTGATATTTGGGGATCATTAAAGGTGAAAATCCTAAATGGGGTTAGAAGGTTTGTTTGATTTATTAACGATCATACTAGAACTATTTGGGCATTCATAATGAAGGAAAAATCTGAAACAACCAAAATCATTCAAACTTTCCATGACATTATTCAAACTCAACTTCAATATAAAATTCAGATCCTCAAAATTGATAATTTAAAGGAATATTTCAACTCTATCATTGGGCCTATTTTTCGAAAAATAGAATCATCTATGTAGGTTATTGTATTAACACCTCACAATAAAATGAGATAAAAGAGAGAAAAATTAGACATTTAATTAAAGTTTCCCTCTCAATTAAGATTTCTCATCAAGTTCCAAAATATTTTTGGGAGGAAGCAGTTATTACTGCAACATATCTTATCAATCGAATGTCTAGCTGGATACTTAACTTCAATATACCACTTCATATTTTGTTGGTTACCTATGCATGCATCAAAACTTTTTCTCATTCTATACCACTTAAAATCTTTGGGTTTGTATTCTTTGTTCACATTCATTCCCCAACCTGAACCAAACTCGACCTTAAGTCTATCAATTTTATTTCCTTGGTTTTGCTTCCAACAAGAAAAGGTATAAGTATTACTCTCTTATTTCAAAAAAATATTACTAACTCCATGAATGTCATATTTTTTGAAAATCAATCATACTAACTCAAATATGATGTTCAGGGTGAGAGTTCAAATGACCATCAACTTTGGGATGCAA